ATAGAGCCCATGTGATGGGTTTCAGGGGGTGCACTGTCCATAACAGTGTATTCGGCCAGGCCATGTAACAAAGGCTGGGCTGAACCCATGTGGCTGATGTGTAGATCAATATTTGGGTCCCACGCCATACAAGGAAGCCCAACTAGGCAGCAGTTTGGAAGGCTAAGTGAGCACATAACTTATTGGGCCTAAAGCCCATTTTGAACTGGGCTGATTTGATCAGTTAAATAAGGGGCAAATTCTGAGATTGGATTAGCAGATAGGGTTGGGTCTTAACCCTATCCACTCAGAGGGTCCAGATCTAAATATGATTAAAATCTGGAAACCTCCTAAAGAGATTAGGAGAAGACTAATCTAATTTGCAGATAAGATAAGGGTTTACCCTTATCAATTAAAGGGAATTCTTATCCAAATATGATTTGGATCAGCAACTCCTAATGGGATTAGGAACTGATCCCTTTAAGGTTATAAAAGGAGGAGGGGGCGGCAGCCTTTACACACACAAGATCACCGCCTCTCTTCAGAGCTGAAATCACAGAAGAGAGAATTCAGTACACCTGCGAAAATTCTCTCTTGCCACCTCCTTCCTGCCACCGCCACACCTGCCAGTTCGATCTCCAATTCAGTGGGAGAAATTAAGATTGGATCTTGATATCAGTTCCTTGTGAAGGGACTGATAGGAAGCTATGCTCACGTGCCGTCCTGCTAATTCTTGTGAAGGATTAGGTTCTTGGGAAGAACATTGTTGATTCTGCTCCATCCTGCACTGCGCCATCTTCAGTAGGAACAGTCTTTGGATCCTTCATTGGGTGTGAACACCTTCGTTGGGAGATATTGTATATTCGTATCAGGTATATCCCTCTCCTACTGTTTTTGTTCAGATCTGGTTCGGTTCATGGTTCAAGATTTATCATTGAAAAATATGATTTTTTTAAAATAGGGAATACGATTCCCAGTAGGATAGAGATAAATTTTTTGAAATTCGCCCATTCTATTCCGCAAGATTCGGGCATTCATACAATGGATATTTCATCCCTTCAGTTTCGTTGCATGTACTACTTCTATTTCAAGTTGGGAATTTTGGAGTTTTCAGATGTCAAATCTTTTTAAATGATTTGGGATCCAACAAAAATCTCTTACAATATAATTCACGAATTCAGAGTTATAAAGACGATGTTTGTTCTCTCTTCCATACATGTTCCATCCAACTCTCCCCAAGAAATCTTGACCGCCAAACCTGGAGCGTACGTAGTGTTCTTAACTTCTTATTATATTGAGACTTGAGAGATATATACAAGAAAAAATAAAATATAAGAATGTTTGGCGTCGATGATAATTCTTCACACCTAACAATCACCCTTTTTGGTTATTTGGTATCATTAGAAATCAACTTTAAAGATGTTTGGTATTGATTATGAAGAGTGATTATTTCTCATTGAAATCACGATTCCATGTACTATATTACCATAATTTAGATGCCATCTTACGGTATAAATGATCATAGATCCACATCTAATGGTCTAAATTATGTTAATAGTATTTCCACATAAAAGTTGCCAATAAATATAGAAAATAACATGAATATAATAGGAAAATGCAGATGTTTACAGGAAAATTGCGGAAAGTAACAAAACTTCGTGGAAAATAAAAAAATTTAGATTTTTGCATTTTTTTTGCAGAATTTTATAGAAAATTGTAGATTTTGTTTTTTGCAAAAATTTGTATAATGTTCTAGAAAATCAAATTTTTGCAGAAATTCAAAATAATAGCATGAAGAGTACTCATGTTAGCTTAAAAAAAAAGAAAATTCACGGAAACTACCATGTATCCAGTCCTAAATACAGGGAACAATGATTGAAAGAGTAAAATAACAGAAAATTGCAAAGGATTAAAAAGTTGACCTTACAGGCGGTGGAGGTAGGGGTTTCGATTGGACTGGATTTGGTCCAATCCGGTCCAATCCAATGTGAGTCCGTTACAAATGGACCTGGTCCAATCCAGTTCAATGAATATTTTGGACCGGTCCAGAGACTGTTCAATCTGTTCAAATTCCTGTTAAACCCGGTCCATTGACACCTATGCTCTTATCTTCTATCAATGGATCAGATATTGGCTCAATCCAATATAAATTCATTATGGACGGATCAGGTCCAATCCAATATGTCATATCGGTTCGTCCAGTCCGTCCAAATTCAATATGTCTTATTGGTCCGTCCAATCCGTCCAAATAGATTTTGATTTGGACGGAATCCAACCCAAAACCGGTCCATTGACACCCCCAAAATAGTGACGTACAATAAACAAAACAGAAACTGAACATAGCAGAAATTTTTAGAACCTGAAAATATCAGTCACGTATAACAAAACAAGGGAGCCGCCGGCCATCCATTATATCAAAGTTAATCTTTCTCTAATAGTGCTAACATTGGAAACATGAAGCTGTTGAAACTCTAGTCGATCATTAGAAGCTCTATCCACAATTAACTATGGATGAATTTCCTCATTATCAAAGGTCTTCTTATTCCTACTCTTCCAAATATATCATAGAAGATAAACCCACTTTTCTTTTAATTTGCTTTTTCCCTCGATATCCTATCCTTTTCATGGATAGCTTTCCACCACTCCACAAGGCCAGCATTTGGGTCAGGGATATACCATATGCTGCCATTTTGGAGTGGATAACCACATTTTTTTAAAATCAAGGCCTTGCCCTATCCCATCCTGAATGGGATGGGTTTTCCCTGATCTTAAACAGTGATGGGGTGGAAAGGGGAAAATATTTTTCCCCTAGACCAGGGAGAGGATGAGGTTGAGGTTTGGATATTATTCCTCAAACCTATTCCAAACTAGTGGTAAATTATTAAAGCACATAGGTTTAATATTAATTACTAAAATATTTTTGAATTTCTATGAAATTCCTAAATCATCTAGGATCGTATAATCTCATTTTTAAGGTGCCCCCATCTCCACTGGGAAGGGGGTGCCCTGCTCCCACTAGGGACAGGGGTAGGGATGGGGAGGGTTGCCAAACCTTCCCCGTTATCATTCTTTGTCGGGTCTGATTAAGGTGGAGGTGAAGCTCATACTGAACCTGACCCATTTCCATTGGCATCCCTACTGCAGAGAGAGAGAGACAGAGAGACAGAGAGATAGAGAGACAGAGGAGAAAAACAGAAAATAATAAAGAAGAGAAAGCTCTCACTCTCGAGTGGGTCCTTTGTGATTCCACCAATGTCAAGTATTAAATATGAGCACATCAACGCCTTTCCATGCTTTGTCACCATTGATAGAGTTGAGTTTGAGAACTCGTCGAATTCTTTCTTTCACAAGGTCCACCAGGAATACAATCCGAGAGAACATAATTGAAACCCCAAAATCCTGGAAATTTGAGGGAAGCAAAAAGACAAGTCTCTCTGTGCATAGAAGCCATGAACTCCCCCATCATATGGCAGATTTCTTGACAATATTTATTCACTCTTTATCTCTCTTAATTTGAACCATATATGTTAATTGATCGAGATGTTTTCCTCTCCAGTCTCCACGAACGATTTCTCTCATTTGTCTACTCTATCAAAAATACCCAATTGAATGGTGATACAGTAGGTTTAGAGTGGGGATCTAAAGGTATGACAATAATGTACAATATTGATCAGAGTAAAGAAAAATGAATCCTTAGACCCACCAAGAATTTAAAGGTTGAGAGACCTCCATCTCTCACTAAGATGTACTTTGACTTTGGAAGAGAAGTGTGGAGCGTGCAAGTGAGTGACTGCCATTTGGTTGAGGCTTACAGAATCTCCAACAAACATGATTCTTTTTCCTCCAAGTCTCCATAATTAAGACAGCATGTGATATGCTGCTAAGACGTTGAGACTTGAGAGTGTTTTATCATGCATAGCTATTGAACGAAGTATACATGGACTTGACCCACCAGATAGACAATGACTCAGCGCCTCCAGCCACCTCGGGCTTGATGGTCACCCCGGGGTCTTGGTCACCTCGGACAATGCAGAGGTCCGAGCATCTCGGATGGCCAATGTTTCCGAAGTGGTACATGGAAGATATTCAGGAGCTTGCCAATTGTTTCCAAGGATCTCGGGATCACGTCGTGTAACCGCAAGTCTTATCCTTATCCCACCCAGATCGGGTGGACACGATAAGCCTTATCGGCTAAGAATATCATTTGCTTTCTGAAGTGGAACAACCTCCTATAGTTCAGGGCAAAGGTCTTGGAGTGTTTCGTGAGGCCCATGACAGCCCAAATATATATGGGTGTGAGATCTAAGACTAAGGTATGCACGATTAAGTGCATTCTAGCTCTCCTACTTACTGATTTCTTAGCTCGCAATCACTACAAGAGTACTAACTTAAGCATCGGAGTGATCTCACCGGGTTAGCCACCCTAGGTTCTCTGATCCATTTTCCTTGCATCGACTGTCCCACTCAGCGACCAACGTCCAAGCTGCCCTCCAGGTAGGAGCATTCAGATCGTGCACCACCAATTGGCGCCGTCTGTGGGAAAGATATGCAAAAGCTAAGTCGCTACTCACATTTCGTTCTTTACTTTACTTCAATGGCATCTCCAAGCAATACTGGTAAGGCTGCCGACGTGAGTGTTACTGGGGGCAGGACCACATTACAGCCTACCCCGAAGGCTCCTCAGTGACCATTGGCCAATTCACTATTCCCTTGACCATCTCAGGGGTCTAGATGAATCCGACCATTGTGACCCAGCAATTGCACGCCCCATTGCCTCAAGTAAGCACTACATTCTTCGTGCCAGAGCCCTCCGTGGTCCCCCTAGGGTCAGGAATCAAGAGTCCCCCTGGGGTCAGCAAATACACCAATTTCAGCAATTTCAATAGTATTATTTCTACCAACAGTTTCAACAGTAGTTCCCACCATTGCAGCCTCAGAATCAGCATCAGCACCAGCGCCAGCCTCAACATCAGAACTAGAATCGGAACTCGAACCAGCATCACAGCTAGAACCAATAGAAGAATGTGTGTCGATCTCCCTACCAGGGTGTAGAGAACCCTCGGGTCCCAACTCCTCCCCGAGGTCGGACTCCACCTCGAGATAGGGTCGACGGTCAGCGCACACCCCCGCCTTCTCAAAGGGTAAATCAGAGAGACTGGCTCGAAGAGAGTCACCATACAAGGACTGATCAGCAGCAACACTCGCGGCGCGAGAACCACGATCAACTCCCACCTTAGACCCCCACAATAGTCACCATCAGGTTCATGACCATGAAGACGCAGGAGGCCGGGATCAGCTCCCACCTCGCGACAGCGTCTGAGAATGTGAGCGGACAAGAATCAAAGTGGCAGGTAATACTGAGGTGAATAGCACCAATATGGAAGTAGAAAGGAAGCAACGACGTCGCAAGATCCACCGGGCATCAGCTAAGAGTAGCCTGCCAAGGAGCAACCCCTTGCCGCTAGTACCGAGCAGGGTAAGGGAGGAAGTGAGCTCTACCGCTGCACAACCGACTCCAGTACTGTTGAGCCAACCCTCCCCCTGTCCCAAGACGTCCTCACAACCCCAAGGCCGTAGGGGTTAAAGACGCCAACGTTGGAAACCTAAAGCGGAAAGGGAAATCTGAACGACCACATTGACGCTTTCCAATCTGTAATGCTACTTGTCGGAGCGTAGGGGTTAAAGATGCTAGGATATGGTATAGAAACCTAGCGTCGGGCTCGATTAAGAGTTGGGCACAGTTCACCGATAAGTTTACTGCCCACTTTGTCACATATAAGAAGTGTCTGAAGTCAACAGCAGGCCTTGTGGATGTGGTGCAAAGGGATAATGAGACGATCAAAAGCTACATTAGCAGATTCAATGAGGAGTGTCTACAAATCCTTGACCTCGACCCGGCCATGTGACTCACAGCGGCGATAAAGGGAGTCCGACACAAGAAGTTCTCTTAGTGCCTTAGAGTGAAACCCCCTAAAACTATGGAAAAGTTCCTTGAAGACGCCGAGAAGTACATGCAGACAGAGGAAACACTGGATGTCAAAAAGGAGCCCCAACAGGGAGAAAAGAGGAAGAGAGACAGTGAAGAGGCTAGCAGTAGCAAGCATTGGTGGCAGAAGAGCAAGTCACCCAGGAGAAGCAAGTCCTCACACAAAAGGAGTAAGTCGCCACCTCGGGGCTCTGGATCAGGTCGGAGATCTGGGACCCCACCGATTGAAAGGACTGCTTACACCCCCCCTCAATGTAAGGCGGGGTGAGATATTAATGGCGATCAAGGACTCCAATCTCAATGTCAGGTGGCCACCAAGGACGCGAGGAGATCCGGCAACTAGGAACTTGAATGTTTACTGTCACTTTCATCGTGACATCGGGCATAGCATAGAGAATTGCAGAAACCTTAAGGAAGAAATCGAAGACCTGATCCGCCGTGGGTATTTGAAGAAGTATATCAAGCATGAAAGCAGTGAGTCAATAGACCGACAGGCCAACCAAAGAAGAGAAGCTCCAGAATTGAGCAAAAATAATGACCTGCCACAACGGCAACCGCAACCACCTGAGGATAGGCCGATCTGCGGGGTAATTAACATGATCACCGCCGGATCCATTGTATTGGGGTGTACCAAGCAGTAGGGAAGACCTCGGTTCGGGAATTAGAGCAAAAAGTAGAGAACCCGCCAAAGCGACCTCGGGTGGAAGAACCCATTTATTTCACCAGGACGATGCGCGTGGGATCCAATATTCGCACGATGATGCCCTGATTGTCAAGCTAGAGATCAATGACTTCGAGGTGAAGCAGATACTAGGGGACTCAAGAAGTTCAGCCGATGTCCTGTTTTTGGAAGCCTTCGATAAGTTGCAGTTAGAGCAGAGCGACATGGAGAGGACGGACACACCCCTGGTGGGGTTTAGCGGTGAAGTGGTCAGGCCCCTCGGCCGAATCACAGTGCCAGTCGCAACGGGAATGTGGCCCAACTTAGTGCGCTTCGAGCGTACCTTCCTCGTGGTTGCAACTCTGTCCTCCTACAACGCCATTTTAGGTCGGCCCATTTTGTATGCCCTCCGTGCAGTCATGTTCATCTATTACTTGTCAAAGAAATTTCCGACGAGCTATGAAGTGGGGATAGTACGAGGTGACCAATTGGAATCGCATAAGTGCTATGTAGCAGCATTAAAGGTTAAGGAGAAGTTGGCAGAAGATGTTGAATTAGAGTCTCCACCCGAGCATACAAAGGAGTGAGCTACCCCGATGGAGGAAACAATCCATGTACCGGTCTCCAAAGCCGAGCTGACGAAGACCCTCAAGATCGGCGCTCTACTAAGCGAACCTCTCTGGTCGCAGCTAGTAAGTTTTCTACTCAGAAATTTAGATGTTTTTGCTTGGTCCGCGGCAGAAATGCCCGGTATTGACCCTAGTTTAATTACTCATAAACTTAATGTGGACCCCTCAGTCAGGCCAGTTAAACAAGGAAAAAGAAACCTCGTCCCGGAGCGGTGGAGGGTAGTTGACAAGGAGGTCGGGAAGCTCCTCGTAGCAGACTTTGTTAAGGAGGTCAATTACCCAAGCTGGGTGGCCAATCCCGTATTGCTGAAGAAGGCCAACGGAAAGTGGCGCATGTGCATCGACTACACTGACGTCAACAGAGCCTGCCAGAAAGATTGCTTTCCACCTCCCTGAATAGACCGCCTGGTAGACGCGACCTCAGGACACGAGTTGTTGAACTTCATGGATACCTATTCCGGCTACAACCAAATTAGGATAGACGTAGCTGACCAAGACAAGACTGCCTTTGTAACCAAACTAGGGTTGTACTTCTATAAAGTAATGCCCTTCAGACTGAAAAATACTGGAGCAACTTTTCAAGGGCTTGTAAATAAAATTTTTGAACATTTGATTATGAATAAAATAGAATGTTATGTTGATGACATGGTTGTAAAGACCCAATTTTCAAACTCTTTGATTGAACAGGTCTATTGCCAACCCATATGTGAGTTCGTCTGTGTTACGATCCCCATGAGATTTTAGCGCAAACTCCGAAATGTTTTAATAGCAAAAGCTGATTAAATCGTTTTCTTTGATTTGAAGATACCGATTTGGAGACAGTAGCGTAGAAGCAAATCAAATCACCCAAGAAACCAATGGCCAATATCGAAACTAGTTCCTTTGACTTTCTTCACCTCCTTCTCACCAAATTTTTGTCGTTTGGAAGTTACAGTTGGCGTTGTTGCCTACAACAATGATACCAAAATCCCCGCCACCGTTGTAACTTCTAACAGCGACAATGAACAATAAGAGTATTTTAGGATTTTTAAAATGATTACCACTCACGTGATGTCACATGTAAACAAAGTGTGACAGAAAATTAAGGATAAAAGAGGTTTTAGACAATTGTCAAAAAAATAAAGAATACCACAACACAATATCTAAATAGTAAAACTACAGTTTGTCAATTTCATGAACAACGTAGTTTAAGAGATTTACCCTTACAATTATTACACTGACCTGATCAATGTATTCCACAAGTGGAACACTTTGGTCGGTAATTAATTAATTATTGTATAGAGGTGGTACAATAATTGCTCTGACCAATAATATTGTACTGATCAATGTGTTCGTGGTGGAACACATCTCCCTCTTGAGGGTTGAGAGAAAATTTTCATTTAACAGGTTGTCTGATTGTCTCTCATCATCATTATCCAAAGTCTTATCCCAATTTAAATAAATCCCGTTTCACCAATAAACTAGCATTTTCTCTCGTTTCATTCAAGGCTTAGAGAAGGGAAGAAAGAAAAAAATCTCATCTCATTTATGAACAGCCTGGTGAAGGTGAAGGTGAAGTTTCATCTTTATGAAGAAACCATCCGAAAGACTCTTTCAGCCACTCTATTGATCAGCACCAACCAAAATTATAGTTGGCCATGGAGTTTACCCCACCTTCGAAGAGGTGCCTCCCAACCAAATCAAAAGAAGAAGAAGAAGATGATGAAAGAGTTTATCAAACATACAGAAATCTCATTTCAACCCTTCCAACTGAAAATGGTTGGTCTTCCAGCAACCTAGTTCTCTACCAAGGCTCTAGGTACGTCCCCAATAATTTCCTACAAGGAGTCATGGCCGTTCAACAACACTTCAAGGCTCGACCCACTGATATTCTCTTGACCGCCATTCCAAAATCAGGCACCACATGGATGAAGGCCCTCATATTTTCCATCGTCAACCGCACCCATTATGATTTTACCACACACCCTCTACTTACTCATAATCCTCAGGACTGTGTTCCGACCTTAGAAACCAATCTTTACAGGAAAACCTCAATCACCAACCCAGATCTTCTTCCATCACCTCGCCTCTTTTCAACCCACATTTCGTGTTCCTCTTTACCAAAATCAATAATAGACTCCAGTTGCCAAATTGTCTACATCTGCCGCAACCCAAAAGATGTGCTTGTTTCCAATAGGTACTTCGGAAACAAAATACGAGCCAAATTCAACAAAGATCAGCCACTGCTCTCATTGGCCGAAGCATTTCAGTTGTTCTGCAAAGGAGCCTCCCCATTTGGGCCCTATTGGGAACATGTTCTGGGATTTTGGAAAGCAAGCTTAGAGCAGCCTGAGAGGATACTCTTCTTAAAATATGAGGATCTTAGAAGCAATCCATTGGTTTATTTGAGGAAATTGGCCCAACACCTGGGGTATCCATTCTCCTTGGAGGAGGAGAAACAAGGGGTGCTGGAAAAAATACTCAACTTATGCAGTTTTCAGAATTTGAGCAATTTGGAGGTGAACAAGAATCCTGATAAGGTGAGTCATGTGGGAGTGGAGTACAGTGCTTTCTTTAGAAAAGGCCAAGTTGGAGACTGGAAGAACCATCTTACTGCTGATATGATAGAGCACATAGATCGCATCACTGAACAGAAGTTCCACGGCTGTGACTTTTCATTCTAGAGGAACATGTATGTGTCTTCTTCATTTCATCTTAATTTTCCTCTGTGTAGTTTTTGAGTTGAGCACTCTTGTTTCTAGTTTTTTGGTTGCATGATGCGCTTTTGTTTAAGGTGTTCCTTCGTAATTAATTTCAAAGTTTCAGATGTCAAAGTTTTTTTAAATGATTTGGGGACTCTGGATCTCCTGTCCACACAAACTCTGCCCACGTCTACAAACAGCACACTACCCCAGTGAATTGGTAACATCTCCCCCTGCATAATATTATATAGGAGGATGAGATGTTCTCCATGTGTGACTGTGATGTTATGTGGGTAGACGTGGGCAGAAGATCCGGACTCTGATTTAGGATCAAAACTGATAGTTGGGTTACACCATCGATATGTTTAAATATATATGATGATATTAGGTATGCAATTTGGGTTCAGCTGGTGGAGATGTATTTAACTACTAAAATGTCAAAATAACACTGAAATTATGGCATTCAAAACTGGCTATATATTGTATTAAATGCAAAGCTAAATGACGATAGGCGTAGAAGATGATGCTATATATTGCTTGCTTGAATTCAAGGGTATGACGATCAAATGCTAAGCTAAATGTGCTGCTGAATTCTAATGATAATTACTGTCTGTATGCAATTGAAAAACAGATTTGGAAGTTGGAACAATGAATTTGAACTATGCTTTGAGTTGGAAGTAGATGTATTTAATTACGATATTAAACCCATAAAAGAGAGGATGCCTAAGAATGCAAATCTAGATGATGCAACATGGTGAACTGAGAAAAGAAAATTAAGAAAGAAATGTTGGAGTTCAAAACTAAAAGAGGTATGGTTGTGCAAAGAATTTTTTGGGAAAAAATATCATTTTCTCATATTAACTTCTATGAAATGCTCTTAGAAAAGAAGAAAATAAAGTTGAAACAAGTGTATAAAGAGGAAAAATATTATTTTCTCATGTTAGCATGCCTCTCCTTTGATTGAAGCTATTTAACTATTTTCTCTATTTTTTGCATTTTTTTATTTTTTTTATTTTAAAAATATAAAACAATAATCTTTGTTTATCTTGATTAGATTAATAAAGTTGCACATTATTAGAGAGAGACCTTTAGGTTTTTCAAGGCCTTTTATTTTCATGCATGTTATTATTACATTTAAGAGAGAGAGAGAGAGAGAATAGTAATAATATAAATAGGTTGAGGTTAAACAATAAAAAATTTAAAAGTTCACTAAATTTCCACTAAAAATAAATATTAACAAAACTTAGTAAATATTAAAAATGTGTTTCAATTCCACTTAAAAATCAAACTTAATAAACACTAATTAAACTAAGAAATTAAATATAAAATATTAATTAATAGTTTTAATAATATTATTAGATAACTTATGAGTTGAGACCTTTATTGTGCATAATGAACTCATTAAAAATGATAATAATTAATGAAAATTTAAAATGCAAAACCCATTTTATTGCAAAAATTACTGAATAATAATGAAAAATATCAATTATTAATTAAAAATAAGAAATTTAAATATAAAATATTAATTGATAGTTTTGATAATATTATTAGATAACTTTGTATTAATGCATTTTAATTAATTAATAATTTTTATGAGTTGAGACCTTTATTGTGCATAATGAATTCATTAAAATGATAAAAATTAATGAAAATTTAAAATGCAAAACATGTTTTATTAATAGTATTTTAGTGCAAAAATTACTGAATAATAATGAAAAAAGTACCAAAAATTAATTAAAAATCTGGAAAATTCTTAAAAACATAAACATAATTAAAATACTAAAAATAATTAAAAAATATTGAAAATTAATAATCATATTTACTGCAAATAATTAAAATGTATAATTAATAGTATTTTATTAAAAAAACACAAGCCAAAAATTATTGACAAATATTGAACATTAGCTATATTTTTTATTAACTATGGTATTTATTTAGTTATTTAATTTAATTTTACTAAAAGCAAATGGAAATTATTTTCTAGTGACTAATATGCAAAAATAAATGCTGAAAATACTGAAATTTATCGAAAAATACTTATATGCAAAAATTACTGAATAATAATGAAAAAAAAACAAAAATTAATTAAAAATAAAAAAATTCTAAAAAACCTAAAGCTTAATTAAAATACTAAATATCATTAAAAAAATTAAATTAATTGTATTTTATTGCAAAACATACTGAATAATAATGAAAAAAGAATGCATTTTAATTATTAATAGTAATATAATTAACAACAATTATTTTTAAACTTTAATTAACAATAATTATAATTTAAGCTATAAATAGTAGAAAATTACATTTAATTACCAAAAAATTATATTTAATTACCAGAAAATTACATTTAATTAGTTTTAGCCAAGAAATTAGCAATATTTCAACTTTGTGTGGGCCACATACGAATCGTATCGTGTCAGCCCAACATGAACCAATTTACACCTCTACTTGAACCTGTCCAATACTTGGGACGAGGTGGGGATGTGGTAGAATGTCTTGACTATGGAACAAGGACATGTATGAGGTGGTGGAAAAAATATTGAACCTATGTAGTTTCAAGAATTTGGGCAAGTTAGAACTGATAAGAGTTTAGATAAGGAATTGGTTCCAGGGGTGGAATTTAGTGCCTTTAGAAAATGCCAAGTTGGAGACGGGAGGAACTATCTAACTGCTGATATGATTGAGCAGATAGATCGCATCATTGAATAGATGTTCCACGTCTATGGCTTGTTTTAGGTTAATATGTCTTTGCTCATTTCATTGTTTCTCTAGAATCCTGTGTGATTTTTTCAGTTGTGCACTTTTTGTTTCTAGTTGTTTGGTTACATGTGCTTTTGTTTTAGGTATTCCCATTAGGAATTTTGAAATTTTCAGATGTTAGAGTTTTTTAAATGACTAGTAAGTCTACACGTGGCAATTCTAGATGATAATTATTGTAATAATATATCCAAAATTAAATTTTCTATAATCGGATCAAGTTGTAAAGTTTCAAGCAACATTGACAGGCCTACCTGTTGCTTGGCTAAACTCTTCTTTTGTAGCATTTTATCTTTTTAGTGTATCTTTTTTCTTTTGTTCATTCATAAAAAAAAGTAAGATTTAAATAGAAGGACCCGAATGAGGTGAAAAGTAGTACTTCAACTTATAATTTAAACCTTATAATTAAATGGAGACTAAATTCAAAAAGGAATATTTTAGTCAAAAGAAAGTTTCATAATCTTATTCATATTTTTAATAATAGTGTAGATATATAATTATAGATATGTTCAATTTTTTCAATATATATTTTTTGTATTTTGTGTAAAAATAATTTTGATATGTTACACTTATTTTTTATTTAATATGATAAATATGTGATATTATACATGTGCCTGAATGCTTTTTTTGCAAAAATTATGTATTTTTTCATTTTTGTGATTTTATATTTTATTAATTTTATTATTTATTCATAGCATTAAATGTTAACACATTACCAAAAGTTGAACTATTTATTATGAATTTTTATATTTTATTTTGGGCCAGTTCTAAACTATGTATTGCATTTTCATTGTCAACAAAAATAATTCTTGTTTATTGCACTTATTTTTTTAATTTAATTAATAAAATACCATAAATGTGCCTAATTGTTTCTACGTTTTTATATTTTTCTATATTTATTTTTATTTTAAAAATTTTATCACCTAACTATGACTTCATAGGTTGATCAATTTGATTCGAATGGTTGAATTTCTTAGCCACCACTTGGATAAAGAATGGTTTTGTTTTGAATCAGTTTTAAAATATATTGTTTTATATTGTTAAAATATTGACATAGATTTAATTAATAGCATTTATCAGTAAAAAATAACTTAAATATAAGATTTAATAACAGAACATGGGATTTAATATATCAAGTATCAGCATTAATAAAAGGGGATTAAATGAGGTGGAAAGTAATAATTGAAGTTACATTTTCAACCCTTACATTTATAGATGGACTAAATATACAAATATGAGCATTTTATTAACCATCAAAGCTAACACAAAAGTTATAATAAAATGACTTTTATATCCTTTCTCAAATAAAGAAATAGAAGATAATTTTAGTACAAAAAAATATTCACACTACATCCACACATTTTTATATATAGTATAGATTTGGGATTAAAACAAAATCTTACAATTTACGAATTTAGGGTGTGTTTGTTTGTGAACAGGACCGGAATCAGAACCGGAATCGAAATCCCCAGGAATCGGAATCAGAATCATCTATTCCTGGCATCTGTTTGGTTCAGTCAGGAATTGGAATCGGATTCCGATTCCTACTGTTTGGTTCAACTAAAAGCTGGAATCGGAATCAGCCAAAGTTTTCAATTCTGCCCCTATTAAAAGAACCCCAAAAACATCCACTAATTATATATTTTCGACATATACACACATTGGCAACCTGCTACCAAGTGCATATACAGAGAAAATATGAAATAAAGAAAAGAAAAACACATAAACAAACAAAAATCACAAAAAAAATCATTCTCCATAAAAAATGTAAAGAAAAATACATAAATAACAAAAATCTCTCATAATGGTGGAAATATTACTGGTACAACATGAATGTTTAAAAACAAAAATCTCGCATCTATAATGCGATGTTACTCCTACATTTCATCTTGGGTTGAACTTCAGCTCAAAAGGCTAGAACTTTGTCATAATTTGGTGATTGACGAATAAATCCTAACCTTCTAGCATCTGAACCCATATTTTTTACAATGAGTTCCATCTGAACCATCTGACCTCATGAACCAATTATGAGCTGAGATAAGTAAAGAAAGTGCATAAACTGAAAGACGCATCTGGGTTCCATGATTTTCGCTTCTAAAATCCAAAGTCAAAGATTAAACCAACAACAATTTGGAAAATTGAAGCACAAATAAGAGCTCCCTGTATTCCTCTCATTGTCCATATAAACCTCTGAGAATAAGAGAAACCCAACAGAAAAGATATAAGAATAAAGGTATATAAAGCAAAGTTACTGAATTACAAATAGAAATGAAGAAGAGCAATGAGAATCAAACTCCAGCTTAAACTCAGCTTTCCACCTTTCTGCTATTTTCCATCTTCTTCGTCTCATCGTCTTCTGTAAGTTTTCATCTAGTCGCCTGATATCCTCTCTCAATGCAAGAAACATCTTCAATCTGAGCTAGATTGAGTTCCATCTCAAGATCTCCTGATATGGTCTAAAAATTGCTCCTAGTTATTAAAAGTTTCGATCTACTTTAAGTGGATCCTACAATTTCTCATAAATTCGATAGTAATGGAATATTTGACAAAAGAATTCTGATAAAACAACAGGAATGTCAGATATAAAGACGGTAATTCCTCTTTTTCTTCTTCCACTCTCTGAATTTATGCTAAAAGAGAGATCAGAAGAATAATTCCAATGGAATTTCATCAAAGCTAAGGGTTTGACAAGAAGCTCTGACCAATGGCAGTTTCTTAAATATATGAAAAATGGAAATATATGCAGCATAAGTGGATTCAAAGCTAATATCTTTAAGGGATCAGACTCAGGACTCATTGCCAATGGTCAACAGCTCACATGCTAATTATTTTAACTCACATGGGTATGGGACAAGTTGTCTAGATTTAATTGGAGATCTAACAAGGTAAATAACAGAGCCATAGTAAAATCCTGAATGCATTTGTTTTGAAAGAAAGAAAAACAGTTTGTTTTCTTAAAAAAAAAAACAGTACATGTCTTTGAAATAATAAAAAATAATGGTTTTTAAAACAAAAATAAATTTTATAGTATAGAAATTATATGATTTATAGAATTTTATATTAAATAAGCAGATGAAAATTTGCTTTTTAAATTTAGAACTTCAAGAACACACTTTGGTTTTAGTTTTCGAAACAAAAAGCATGTACAAATATAACCAAGAATATTTGGGTTTTCACCAGCTGGTATTGTTTTTGAAACTCTCAAGATAAACATTCAAACACCCCCTTAGTAGAGTTGAAGTTATTTGAAAGTTATCTAATAGGTGTTCCACTGCACATACCAGTTGTGTTTTAGATTTAAGCCATTAGTTGTCATTCATTGGGCCCGTTTGGTGCGTTTTTCTGCCCGGTCTTTTAGCTATTTACAAGTTGGGAAGACTGATTTTCAGTCTATTCCCATTTGGCTCGTGGAAGATCTACTCGTCAAAAGAGGGAGAGTCAAAAAGACACGAGAAGCCCATTTTGGGCTGATTTTGGGAAGCTTCAAATAAAGCTTTCTACGTCTTTCGCATTTTATTCTCGCACGGAAAGACATGAAAAGATGCACGGAAAGGCGTGCATCTGCCAAATGTACTTCGGGCTGCTCAGATCTTCATACAAAAACTTAATGCGTTTTTTGTATGTTAGAGCTATTAGAAGATCTTTCCAAAAAGACACGTCAAATGGGCCCATTGTCTTGCTCCTAGTCTTTTGATTGAATAGTTAATGAGAGGGGGTAATCAATGACTGTTCTTAAATATGAAAAACGGAACCAGTTGTCTGGACGGTTCCTAGGCTGAACGGTCCGACGATCCGGGTAAATGGCGCTTTGAAAACGTTGATAAAAACAACTAAAACAAGAGAAATTTGTTTTCAATCAGCATGTGCAAGGATTAGAATGAGTTCTATTTCAGTTGGAAATTTTTATAATAATTTATAAACCTCTTGGTTCAGAAAAAAATTGATATAGACAGTTTTCAGTTCAAAGGACTGACCGGTGGAACGAGGAAAGAGGAGATTTGCAGACAAAATAGAAACACATAGAAAAAGAGAGGAAGAGAAAATCAATGAAGAAGAAGAAGAGTGAAGATTTTTCAGAGCTTGAACTTTCTCCACTACAAATAGGTATTTTTCTTCTTTCTCTAAGCCCCTGAATAGATTGTTGAAAGTTTGTTCCTTCTAGGTTTCTTTTCTAATATTACAATGAAGATCTTCATTTTCCATGTTTGTGCTGTTTTGGTTTTATGAGAAACTACAACTATTTTATTTGAACACCTTCACAGAAACTACAATCACCCCGTTTTTCTTAATTTGATAATGCATAGGGGTGGCAACAAGCCGAGTTTTTCATGAGCTGCTTGAGCTCGGCTCAACTCGGTTTCAACCGAGTTCGAGTTCAATTCACTGGCTCGATTATTAAACGAGCCGAGCTCAAGCCTACTAGAACTTGGCTCATGAGGCTCGCGAACCGGCTTGAATACATACATATATATATATATAATAAAATTATAGAAAATAATATATATATAATAAAAATATTATAATTATTAATTATTACAATTCTTAATTTTTTAAATATCAAATAAAAAATATTTTTATATATAATTTTTTATTTTTATAAAATATTTTTTCTTAAAATCGAGTTCGAACCAAACCGAACTCAAACTTATAAATTTTTTACTCAAACCGAACTCAAACTCAAGGTTCTGGTTCAAACCTAACTCGAACCTCGTATTATTCGACTCGGCTCGAATCCACCCTTTAATTAGTGCACTTCATTTCTCTTATAAGAAACCAACTTCTGTTTTCTTTGTTCATCTCCAAAATGTGAAGAAAGCTAACTGCAAGATACTTGGGGAAGTTTCATAACCCCAGATTAAATTGCCATCTGAGATCGGAAGTGGTTCCCAGAATGATGAAAAGAAATGCTTCACTACTGGGAAAACAAATGACACGTAGAAGTTGAAGCATTTCTTACGTGTCAATATCTATTGCATGTGCATAACTTCTGAGCTCCAATTTGAAGTTTTGAACACTGTTTACGTATTAAGTTGATTTTGTTGGACTGAGGGCGATGATATATTGATATCTTTCAAGAAATCTAATTTGTTTCTGAAGAGGTTGGAAGTGGTTCGAGTAATGCTGCTATCTGTGGGCACTGGCTAGAAATGAAAGGAAATGGAAAGTCACTGTTTGTTAGGTTAAAGGGTTTCAAATTTCTGCCAAGTTTTCTGCACTGTACAGGTGGTGGGTTTGGTCTTCCAAATTAAACCATAAAACCAAAGTCTCAGTTGCTGTTGTTAATCTGTTATTTAACAAATAAATCCACTACCTGTACAGTGCATAAAACTGCATGCACCATTAGTGGATTTAACAAATAAATCCATCAATTACATTTATTAAAACTGCACCATTAGTGGATAATGGGTTGGGGGTGTGAGTGGCCAATAATTTGGATTTCCTTCCTTGGATGCTGATGAAGTGATGAGATGTGAGGCCGGGGCTGGGATGATCAATGCTCTGTTCTTTCACTGCAACACTCAAACTCTCTCTGTTTCTATCTCTGTTACTGGTTTTGGTCTCTGAGCTCAGACACTCACAACACTCTTTTTCCTTTTTCACAATCTTGTGAAGTTACAATGTCATTGAATGCATCTTTCCCCCGCTTCTTTAGGGTCTCTCCTTTTTTTCTTTCTCTCTTTTTATTTATTTATTTTCATTTTTCTATTATTTTACCCCCTTTTGTTTACATGATAAAATTATATATCCGGTTTTTTCTTAATATAATTTTCTTTCATTCTGACCCTTGATTCATTGGCTTGTCGATTCTTGTCTCTGAGTCTCTGGCTGCAAACCCGAATGCTCCTATTCAAAAAGATGCAAATTTGGTCGTTTGCAAGTTGAACTAATCAGAGATGCAAAGCTTCCTGTGGAAGGTGTCATTTCCTATTCTTAGAAGGTTTCCATGCGCGCTTTCAGATTGTTTTTACAAAAAGAAGGAATCAAACTGAAAACCTTTTATTGGTTGTGAATCTCTCGGGGTTACAATGCCCCTATGGCAATGTAATGAAATTTCAAATTTGTTCTACAAGCTCTCGTGGTGACCGACTGAACACGCTTGCCTGGTAGCTATTCTCTTTGGTGCCCATGGTGGACTATGCTTGCAGACTGATTTGTACAATAATTGGTACGATGATGGAGATGAATCTCTGATAACTGGAAAATGGCACAAGGCTCGCTAGTACAATATATAAGAAGTGGATTCAAAGCTGATGTCTTAAAGGGATAAGACCCAGATCAGACCTAGGTAGGACTCATTGCTTTTAGTAGAGAAACATCTTCATGTCTCTTGAAGTCATCTAAGAAAAAGTGAGGGCATTTTATATATAAATCGATAAAACCATTTCCAATATATATATATATATATATATATATATATTGAAGAAACATTTAATTAATGAATTATTTAAATGAGAAGCATTGATATAATTGGTACCTGTTGGAAAACTTTTAAGCTCGTTTTGTGACAGGTAGATTATTTCCAATGAAGAGAGGTTATGCAATAAGCCTGAGGGTAGGCCTTGGTGGGTGAGAAAATTCTCACTAACATCCAATTCCTTGAGATTCCTCAATCCACCCAATCCTAAAAAAGCAATTGCACCACAAATATATTAATTCACCACTAACTGACTTATTGAGAAATGAGAATCCTCAATCCACCCAATCCTGCAGAGAAGTAAGTGTCATTAAGCATGTTTTTAATATATCCTGGAAGTGTCATTAAGTAACCTGATTACAGATGACAAGTAAGTTTCTTGGGTATCTACTAAGGTGAATTGTAGAATTTAACTAGCGGTTATGTTAATGTGATAAGAGTCATGAGATGGAAAAATAGGCACAGTTGGGATATAAGGCTTGGATGATGATGATGATGACTATGTAAAACACAGCTACCACACTACAACATATTAATTTAGGGATAAAAATCACAGCATTAATTTGCCCCTCCCTCCTAAATGCAACAGTCCCTATAGACTAAATGGAACATGTCGAGATAATAATTTACCAACCAAAATATTTCATATCCTGCAGAAGTAGCAAGTAAATCTAGTAGAACACTTCTGACGTTGTGTGAATGATGCATACTTGTAGAGCTTCTCACTGTATGGGGATTCTTCCCTCTTTACACAAACATTAATTAATGAAATTAATTAATCAGTATGGGGACTTCCATCGGTAGCAAGTAGCAAGTAAATCTACTAGTTAATGAAATTAGTAGAACACTTCCATCTTATTTCTATGAATCGCAGAAATGAGGGCACCTATGAATTGCAGAAAAAAAAGTAGGAGCAGATTCATCAGTATGAATATTTTGTAGACATGAACTATATTCACCGATGCCTGGATCTGGTGTGAAAACTCGTTAATGATAGCAGTGAAGAAATAGATCAATCCCAAATAGAGTAGGAGCAGATTTGCAAAACATAAAACCATATTTCAGTTAGTGAAAAAAAAAAGAAGGAAGAAGGAGGAAGAGGAGGAGAGGAAGAAGAAGATTCAATTAGTGGGCGGTTGATTTCGAAGAAGAAGGAGGAGGAGGAGAGGAAGAAGAAGATTCAATTAGTGGGCGGTTGATTTCGAAGAAGAAGGAGGAGGAGGAGGAGGAGGATAATGGTTCAGCAGTGGTCTTACCTCGCCGGAGGTTGGTTCAGGATGGAAGGTGGTGATGGAGTTCTCCCATTTCTTCGACTAGATTGAAAATGAGGAGGGCATTCTTGTCCAAAAAATAAAAAAGAAATTCATAATCTGGAATGGGAATCGCATTCCCCGGAGAGAGTTCAGGAATGGCCATTCCCCCATACGAGAGATTCCCATTCTGCCTAGAATGGGAATCCCATTCCCATTCCGATCAACCAAACACTTGGAATGAGAATGGGCCATTCCGATTCCGATTCCGATTCTAAGCTCCTATTCCATCGAACCAAACAGACCCTTAGACTTTGGGAAGTCCCCCATAAAGACGATATTTTACTCTTCCATCTATTTCTCCTTAAGAAATCTTAGACCGTCAAACCTGAAGGATAGAATATGATAGGGTTATATGGGCCAAGGGTTCATAGTTCCCCAACGTTGGTTCCAGAAGGCCCAAGGCTTCAGAGGGTTACATGGACCCAGGCTCAATCGTAAAGCATTCTGGATTGAGACACCTTGCTTGGCACTATTGGAAAAATCTATGGTACCAAAAAAACTTTAACCAATCAAGTACGAGAATACCAAGTAATTGGTCACCTCTTTTATGATATCAGTTGATTCGTGGTTAATTTTTTGCAATATCATGTTCTCTTTTCATAGTCGAATCCTTCATTATTTATTTATGTTTTCGGAGGGGGATTTTGAAAGCATGGGTAGACGGGAATAAGTTCAACTGGATGAATTTTTCAAAATATTAGCAAAAGGGGTCCAGTAACTCTACATTACCCACCAGGTATATATAATGCCCAAAAGACCTGATACTAGAAAATTTACAACCAATCAACTGACATTATAAAAGTAGGAATCAATAAAGTGGGTTTTCACCTAAATTCACAGGGGTTGTGATTGGAAAAAACTTTTCTAGCATGATGCCTTTCTAGAATCATCCTTTCCATTACGATTTAATAATGATAGCAATTGTCAGAAACAGTAAGAGTAGCACAAGACAATAATTAAACAATAGGGGTATAGTTAGTAATTAGCTAAATCATAAGGGTAGTTTAAAAAATTTACCCTATAAATTATGCCCGTTCATCATCCTACAATGGAAATTCTCACTGCTCTTAAGTGTGTAATTCACTACACATGGACTTTTATTCACTCGTACATCTTATTTGTAGTTGTATCTTGTATGCCTTCTCCGATGCCAATTGGGTTGGTTGCTCAGATGATGAGTAGTCTCACGACTTTTGCATCTTTTTTTGATCCAACCTCATCTCTTGGATGTTCAAGAAACAGGCGTGCGTGCCACATTCAAGTACAGAATCTGAGTACCAGAGCATTGGTATAACAACTTCCAAACTCATATGGCTATGGTACTTATTTTCTGAGATGCATATTGAACTCCTTGTTCCTCCCAATTTGTGGTGCAGCATATATACCTTACCACTAATATGGTTTTTCACACACGCATCAAACACATTGAAATGGATTTCCATTTTGTTAGAGAATAAGTTGCTCAAAAATATCTGTGTACGATTCACGAATTATGCAAATCAACCTATTGACATTTTTATCAAAGCTCTGCTGGGTCCTTGTTTCTCCACTCTCAGACACAAGATGAATGTGTATACCCACCTTCAACTTGACAATGGAGGGGGTGTCAGAGTATAGCTTAGGGATGGTAATTTTCTCCATTTTCCCCCGTGGGGACGGGGATGGGGAAATTTTCATCCCCGTTAGTGGGAATGGAGTATGGACGGAGAGAACACTCCCGACCCCACGGGACCCCGATCCCCACCCTGTGGGATCCCTACTAATATGTATGTATATATGTATGCATACGTTATATATGCATATATGTACACATACATCTATATATTATTATTTTTAAAAATATGATTGTATATGTTTGAATCTTTTCTAATAGGATTGTAAATTTTAATTATTTTATTTTTAATTTTTAAATTAAAATAAAAAACAAAAACAAAATGGTTAACATTATAAAAAATCACGAGAAATAGGAATCCCTGTATGGGGATAGGGATGGGGATAACCTTGTCCTTGTTAGAGGGGACAGGACAGGGACGGAGATGGAGATTTTCACGGGGACCCTCTCCCTGTTCCTGCCCCGCCCCACCTCATTGCCATTCCTGGTGTATCTCCAATATACAAGGGTGCATGGGTTTGGGAGGATGAATTATATTTGAGATAAACTCAAACACTTGTACACATCAATTTGTTTTCATTGTAGCTCTATCACCATATATATGGCCCCATTTAGCGTGTCTTTCTGCACGGTCTTTCGGCTGCTTATAAGTCGGGAAGACCGAAAATTGGTCTATTCCCATTTGGCATGCAGAAGATCTCGCCGCCAAAAGACGGGGCACCAAAAAGACACAGAAAGCCCATTTTGGGCTGATTTCGAGAAGCTCCAAATGAAGCTTCCTGCATCTTCCGCATTTTAATCTCGCACAGAAAGACCCGAAACAACGCACGGAAAGATGCACATCTGCCAAACAGTCTTCGGGCTGCCTACATCTTATGTCAAAAGCTCAATGCGTCTATTGACTGTCAGAACTATGAAAAGATCTTCTCAAAAAGACTTACCAAAGAGGCCCTATATTAATACAAGTATCGAGATAGACTTAGGAGAATGGACTTTATCTTTATTTGTGTTTATTTTGAATAAGGAGAATCCCTCCTCATCTTATCTTTTTTTATACTTATCATACAGCTTGTATTAGAATTGCAAACTTATCATGTAAACCCTACAAATACAACAAGAGTTCGGCTGGGTTGTATCACCGAACTACATAATTTATTTTCAATTGTTATTTGTATTATCTTTCTTTCTTGCTGTTCTAATTCCATAGGACTCTACACTGTATATATATTCAAATCACATCAATGAATATTTATTGATCATTACTCTTTGCCAAGAGACCCTGAACCTAAAAATATTAATCTCATAAAAATGGTTTGACTGGCTGTTTAATTAATCTGGTTTTACCCGTTGTTTTAACTAGATCATCACTCTGCCCGTTCATTTCTGGTTGAAGATCCTAGAAAGAAGTTAAAGCAGGTTGTGTAGAGGAGAGTCTGCTATATATATACGGTAGAATTAATCAAGTAAAACAAAAAATAAATTAAACCCAGAAACTCTAATTCATTTCTGGAGTACGTAGAACTGCATATAAGAGCTCGTTCCAGGCATCAGGAACTCCAGAAAGACACCAATGACTGCAGTCCATTCCGGTGTGGCTATAGCTTGTGTAAATGGATGGGTGGCCATCTTTCCTCAACCTTGAGAGCATTGTCACGTCCAGCAAATAGACAGGCGTCGACATACTACTCAGCATCTTCTGCACCAGAGCTTCTCCTTCAGAAGAACCCTGCAACTGATCCGAACTTTCCACCGGTCGGATTTGCCTGAAACAGGTTGTCATCCTTGGTGCATTCCATTCACTACCACTGATAGATCAAAGGAGATTAATAAAGAAATAGGTAAATTTGTGGGACAGGAATTATGATCAATTTGTTTTCTCTCTCTTGTTCTTTGGTTGATGATTAATTATTTCTTACTTGTAATGAGCTGGAGAAATTCCTTGGAAAAGGACTTTGGTCTTCAAAGGATCTACATTGGCCTCCACCCATTTGGCCCATGTTGCCAACCCCATCTTGAAAGCAGCCAAACGATCCATGTCTCTCAATAATCTATTCCCCACTTGAAAGTAGTCCCACCTGCAATTCAACGTCAGGCTCTTAAAATCAAGGTTTGTTGGCTGCTTTGGGGAGATTTTGAAAAAGTAGGGGGTGTCAATGGGTTGGGTTATTTGATGGGTAACGCAGCTTGACCGAACCCTAGGGTTTGAGGTAAGTTTGTAACTTTTTTCGGGTGTAGGATCGGGTCAGGGATTCAGTTCTTCAATCCAAGTCGGGTTTGGGCTTCATCATCCTGACCCACCAGGCTATAATACCTCTACATGGCTACACACACAAATACAAATACAAACCCACCAACCCCCGAGAAGTCTTTTCCTTTTCTTTTATTTTTTAACACCAAAAGGCAAATTAAGAAAAATAGCCCATTTTTCCCATTTTTATTTACTTTTAGTAGAAATTAGAATTCTGTTACTTTTATTATCCTTTCACATCTAATTGGACATCGGTCCTCAAGAGGCATTGGTAAGAATGAATTTGAAATGCCTACATAATGTATTAGCACAAACAAAACTTTTAATTGCTCTTTTTTTTTAATATATGTTATGAAAAATACAATAACTAAAAGATTTAATAAGTAATTAATAATGTAAAAGTAAAAGTAAAAAAAAAAATGAAAGCGCAATCACACAAAAAAGTATAATTAATAATTTGCTGGTTGGGTTATCAGGTTGAACAATACAGGGTTGAGTGGGTTTGGGGATTGCATTTTGTTAAGTCGGGTTGAGTCTTGGAATGACAATTTTTCCCATAAATCAAGGCCTTGCCTTACCCAACCCTAAATTGGGCGGGTTTTCCCTGATCTTAAACAGGGACAGGGTGGGGAGGGGAAAATATTTTTCCCCTAAACCAGAAATAGGGTGAGGATGAGGTTTGAATATAATTCCCCAAATCTATTATGAACCCAGTGGTAAATTATTAAAACACTCTTAATTTTAATATTAATTACTAAAATATTCCTGAATTTCTCCCAAATTCATAAAACCTCTAGGATTTTATAATCTCATTTTTAAGATACCTCCAAATTCTCATAAATCAATTTTTAAAATACGTTAAATGTCCATAATCCTATTTCTAAAATACCTCAAATTTAATGTGATTTTAGGTGATTGCCTCAAGGTAAAAAAAATTTAAGAATTCCCCATCCACACTGGGAAGGGAGTGCCCCATCCCAAACCTGGCTGCCCCGTTGCCATTCTAGTCGGGTCTGATTAGGGTGGAGGCAAAGCTCTACTGAACCTGACCCATTGCCATTGACATCCCTATTGCAAAAATAGAGATAGAGATAGAGAGAGAGAGAGAGAGAGATAAAGAAGAGAAAGCTCTCACTCTCGAGTGGGTCCTTTGTGATTCCACCAATGCCAAGTATTAAAGATGAGCACATCAACGCCTTTCCATGCATTGCCACCATTGATAGAGTTGAGTTTGAGAACTCGTCCAATTTTTTCTTGCACAAGATCCACCAGGAATGCATTCCGAGAGAACATAACTGAAACCCCATAATCCTGGAAAATTGAGGGAAGCAAAAAGATAAGCCTCTCTGTGCATAGAATCTATGAACTCCCCATCGTCATATACCAGATTTCTTGACAAGAATTATAGATATTCATTAACTCTCTATATCTCTTTGAATCATAATATGTTGAGATGTTTTCCTCTCCACAAACGATTTCTCTCATTTGTCTCTATCAAAAATACCCAAAATTGAATGGTGGTACAGTAGAAAAAGCCCAGGTTTATAGTGGGGCTCGTAAGGTATGACAATGAACAATATGAACAATATTGATCAGAGTAAAGAGAAATGAATCCTTAGACCCACCAAGAATTTAAAGGTTGAGAGACCCCCATCTCTCACTAAGGTGTACTTTGACTTTGGAAGAGAAGTGTGAAGCATGCAAGTGAGTGATTGCCATTGGTTGAGGCTTAGAGAATCTCCAACAAACATGATTCTTTTGCCTCTAAGTCTCCATAAGAAGTCATGACCATTGAACCTGCATCGAATCATGCAAAGAAATCAATGCTCAACCACTAGAGAATGATCAGATAGCATGTGATATGCTGAGAGGTTGAGAGATCGAGAGTATTTTATCATGCATAGCTGTCAGCAGGTTTGCTCTTCGATCGTTATTTCAATTCATAGAGGTTCATTATTGCTTGTTTGGTTGGTGGAATCCTTTGCCTAGCTAGACTCAATTCATCGTTTTTTCAGATTCAGACTCATGACCACTCAATAATGGAATGAAATAATTTATTTTTTCCATCTTTTATGCAGTTGAGAGAGAATAAGTCAACATGCATGCTTCTAAAGAGGAATCCCTTGACCTACCAATTAAAGGAGTTAAGTAAGATTTAGGCGATATAACAACCCAAAATAAAGAAAGTAACATGCAACCAGTGTTTATTTATCAGACAATGATTCCATTTATATGATCATTATTTTATCACTGAAAGTACTATGGCTATGACAAGGAAGTAATATCGTTCCATATCCAGCTGAAGTGGCTGAACTGAATAGCTTTTTTGTTTTCGGTAAATAAGTGTTTCAAGTAAGAGGTTTTGCACTCTTTAATGGCTAAAACTGAAGTTGGGCCGATTACTGTACACTTGTATTAATTAATTATTTTATTTACTATATACGAATCATGGTTCAGCCACACTTCAGCCATTATTAAACAGCTCTAATACAAATTTGTGTTTTCCATGCTTGACAATAAACTAATCCTCCACATCAATTAATAACTAACAAACTAATTGATAAATTTAGAGGAAGAGTGCATTCAATAAAGGATACCCAACTGGGGTTTGGGGTGGTAGTTTTTAAGAATTGAATTTGCAACAGATATGATTCAAACCACTTGGAGGTGGAATATGGGTGTCAATCGAATGCCACTCTGATGATAGAAACCCCTCAGACCTCTCCTTTCTTCTAATGTAACTTTCTTCCTGTTCTTCTTCTTTTTCTTCTTCTTCTTCTTCTTCTCCTCCACCTCTTCCTCCTCCATCAAATTTTATGATGTTTTCTCCTTAAACATATGACAGGTTTGTCTACTAAAACTTTAAATATTATAGATATATCTATTACTTCTCTCTTTCTCTCTCCACCCAATTGATTATGAAATTAAGATTTTATTAATAAAACAATAATTGCTTTCTTAGCCCAAAAGAAAATTATGATTTTCTTTTAGACAATGTTATTGATGATAGCGGTATCTTTAATTAAAAAGTAGAGACCAAAGGAGTAGGGCATACCTTGGTAAGTCGCAACCATTAGGCTTCCATCTGTATTTAAGGTATAGTTTATCAGGCCTTCCATTCTTCTGGCAGTCGAATATGGATTCAATGGAAGGACAACTTGAGGGATTGTAAAGGGGATAGGCTTCATCATAGACCCATCTCCCGTCGAAAAGATCACAGCCCCACGATTGTTTCCCTTGTCCCCACCGGCTTACATTATTAGAATGCTCCCCATGCACTCGTTGGAGGAGAAAAAGAAAATTCAGTACTAGTATTGCAACAAAACACATAGAGCCCTGACACCTCAAACCCATATGGGGTTTTGGCTTAAAAATCAAAAGAAGATAGGAAACAAAAAGCCAAGAACGAGAGAGAGAGAGAGAGAGTTTAAATAGAAGTGAGAATGCAGCAGTTATGCATGGGATTTTTTAGATTGGATTGTGGTTTGTAGTTGTTATTTTCAAATGGGTTACAGAAAATCGCATTAATTGGTCCTTTAAAATGGACTCGTAATGGGCAATAAATCTTGCTCTTTTCTTTTTCTTTGATGGAGAGAGAGACGTGATTTGAATATTTTGCTTTTCTATATTATTTATTTAGTTGTTGAATGTTGTAGATGGGGATGGATTTATTGGACATGAGGTCTATCATCGTCCGTTAACTCTAATTCCCTAACAATTACGTGGCCAATCAGCCAATCAATCCGATAGATTCTATCGAAAGCTAGTAAGCAACAAACTTTGTGCAACTCTTGAATTGCATAGACTCGTTGTTTATTAGCATTCTTCTTTGTCTTTAAGACAAAGATATCACTTAGATGCGTGATGCTCTTTTAAGGTGGTGGGCCGTGGAAGCAACTCAGGATTATCTAAGCCACCATCTTTTACTACTAGTGGTCCAGTTGCAAACCAGAACATGGGTGGGCTCACTCACACGGTCACACCCATTGGACATGGACAGTGATAGCTTAACAGACTGAGCTGATTTATATAATCCAATATTCCACAAGCCCAGTTGTCCGAAAGAACCCAATAAGACATAATAATACACCCATCAACTCATTTCTTGATCATTATTAGCCTTAATCTTCTCTACATTATTATTGAATAAAAAATGCAATGTAATCGGGCAACCAATCGAGCAGCAAAGACGATCATTTCGTCGAACAGGTAGACCACAATTAATTAATTCCAACAGTCTTGATGATTCATATATATATAATAATGGAATTAAGAGGAAAATAATGATCATCTCACAGCTCACAGGAGAAGAGATGCATAAAGGAGCTCATTCCAAGTATCAGGAACACCGGCTAGACACCAGTGACTACAGTCCATTCCCTGTGCCCCATCAGGGCCGTAAGCAGAGGGGTGACCATCTTTCCTCAGTTGCGATAACGTCGTGATATCAAGCAAATCAACTGGTTTCAGCATCTTACTTAACACATTCTTCACTACAGCTGCTGATTCAGGTGAACCTTCGGGGTATGTTGACCCACTTACCGGCTGCGTTTGCCCATTGCAGTTCATCCTTGCTTGGTTCCATTCGCTGCCGCTGTGTTCATTAATTTGGCATTTACAAAACTGGAAATCATCAGTGTCTATAAAATTAACAATACTCATCCTACTAAAGATTTTATGGGTCATTTGCATGATCTTGTGGGTTATAAACTGTTGGACCCACATGATATCAACCAATATCTGATCATCAATGTGGAAGTGGAACCAATGGATGCCACTTAGTCCGGCCATGTCAGCCTGAATCCAACTTGAAAGGTTGGAGGTCAGGTCAGTGTTCATGTTGAAAATCTGAACTTGGGTGCAACTTGGGCGGGCTCCGGTGTAAATTCATCAAATTGGGTATCCGACTTGCACCCCCTACTCTGAAGTCTGAACTCAAATTGACTTTGGCTTGGTTTTGGGCCTGAGGCCTTGACAACCCAATCCAATCCAAACCCAATATGTCTTCATATTTTATAAAAATACATATATATGTACATTTATGTGTATTAGCTAACTCAAAGTCTGAGAAGTGGGAACATTTTTCTTTTTTTTTGTGAAAGAAAAAAAATGAAGAAATTGGGTCAAAATGAAATTATTGAGTTGGGTTGGGCGACCTCAGCCCAACTTGCTTTCCTAGGCACCCACCATTGATGTTTACCCTATAATAATTTGTGTACTTTATTCTTAGAGCTTACATGTAATGGGTTGGAGAAATGCCCTGAAAGAAAACTTTTGTTGAGGCTGGATCAATGTTGGAGTCGACCCAATTGGCCCATGTTGTCATTCCTTTCTCAAAAGCAACCAAACGATCCATGTCTTTGTATACATTGCCTCCTTCTTCAATGTAGTCCCATCTGCAATATGTACAAATACCATTTTCCTAGTTTTCTTTTAGTTATCAATCATCTCTGTATATAGAATTCAATATAATACCAAAATAAAATACAATTTAACAAAAACCCCAAGTTTATGAATTGGGGTTCTTACGGTTGTTTGCTTCCTGTGTGGATCCACCAGTGCCAAGTGTTGAAGATCAACATGTCGACGCCCTTCCATGCATTGCCGCCTTCAATGGAGTCAAGTTTTAGAACTCGCCCTATTTTTTCTGGAACTATGTCAACCAGGTATTCGTTGCGTGAGAGTATTACCGACACTCCATAGTCCTGTCAAATCCTTAATTATTTGATTATACTCTTGATTAACAACAATAGAATAACTACAAATGATTCATTAAAGCAGTTATAATTTGTTTGATCTGCTTAATAATAGAGCAAAATGTATGTACAACAGAGTTCCAAAGATATCGCCACATATTTGTTATCTCCATTAATGGGTTTGTGTCTTCTAACGCTAAAGGTTTTTGGACCTTGTCTTTAGGAAGAGGACGCTTTGTCTCCATTAGTAATACAGAACTGAGTGTCAATTTTCTTTTAACTTATTATATTGCTTCAGTCACTTTACAGCTTTATCTAATTTTCCAAAAGCAATTAAGCACTTGGAAAGTACCCAAGAGACTTGCCTATAACTTGGTCCAGAAATCAAACATTTTGTGGACAATCAACAACAGCAATCAACTGTAAAAGTGGTGTTTGATTCAAGCAGGAAGCAAACAACCCATATGAAAATTTATCAAACAGATGGAATGTAGGATACAGAAACCTACCGGCAATGTAAATATCTGCCTGTTCACCAAGGTGTAGTTTGCTTGTGGAACTGCAGCATGAAGCATGCAGATTAGTGATTGCCACTGGTTGAGGCTTAGTGAGTCACCCACAAACATAATCTTTTTCCCCTTGAACCTCCTCAAGAAATCCACTGCGTTGAACCTAAAATCTCAAGTCAAAAGAGGAATATTACTCCACATCAAACTTCGAGCTCGAGATCAGCTCAAACCCATCTGGTGGTCAGAGACTGATCAGTGTGGTTAGGTTTTGTATAAGAGTATGTACAAAGGAAGCCCATTATTCTTCATTCTTTTTTCTAGTGGAAAATATGGCAGCCCAGATACAGTGTAATGGAAAACTAAATGGATAACAAATCCAATTGGCCCATAGGAAAGTACTTTGAAAACTAATTCACAATTACATGCATGGTTTTCACGTGGTTCTTTCATATATGAAAATTTTGCACGTGCAAATCACATGCATGACACCTAGGCCCAATCTGTACTAAAGGGAGACTGCTAGGGGCTCCAGCTGGAATCCAAATAATCATTAACAGTTTTGGGCCATTCACGATAGCCCACGACAGCTCCATACACAAGGGGCCCATTTTGAATGTTATGCTAAAATGATAAAACCAAACCCTTTGATTTGATTTGATGCATTATTGTGGCCCCACCTTGACTTAGATAAAGTAACGTTGTGGTGGGGCCAATAGTGATAAATTGAAGGCCACGATTCTTAGCTATAGCAAAAGTAAACTCTACCCAAGTGGAAAGTACCCTGCTAAGATTATCTGACTTTGTAGACAGATAAGTCAATTGTCAACAAAGATAGCTTATATCATCTATTCACTGAACCAAAGCTTATATTCAGCCCAGCCCTCCCAAACGAGCCCTTAGTATTTCATATATCCACACCCTCTTAACCTATATATACTACAGGGAAAGACAACCTTAGAAGCTTTAGAATCCAATAATAGAGATCTCCTCTGATTTGATCACGTTTCATGACTTGCCTAGTCCATGTCAGCTCTGTAACCCATCTATTGTATCTCTATCTCACCCTCAAGTACCTTAGTCATTGGAAATTAAGCTTTGATATTATTCCATTTCATTTCTAAGAATTCAATAAAATGATTTTAGCTTTGCCACCTGGCAAGGCAAGGTCTGTTGGGCCGAATTAAGTTGGCGCATTCCTGGGCACCGGCCTATGCAGCCATGTCCTAGATTCTTGTGTCCAATCCAACTTCTCTGAATCTCTGTAGGAGATTGATGTTGTTGGCTTGTTGCAAACCCATATATTATATACAGGCTCCAATTTTAACCGGGTCAGATTTTGGTTCCAAGACACAAACAAGGGCCGAGGCAGGTCCAGCTCCAGCCCTGCCAAATGCCAATAGGTGGACCGACCCGGGAAGCCTCAATGCCGACACAACCTCAATTTGTCTACAATGCACCAATAATCATTTCTGAAGACGACAAGGAAGAAAAAGCATAGAAAAGAGTGGGAGACGGATTACCTGGGCAAGTCGCATCCGGTGGGCTTCCATCTGTATTTGAGGTACTGCTTATCAGGCCGGCCATACTTCTGGCAATTGAACTCACTATCGATGAACGGACAGCTTGCCGTGTCGTACAAAGGGAAGGAATCATCCAACACCCAACTCCCTTGGTAGAGGTCGCAACCGCTCGACGCTAGCCCGCCCAACTCCCGGCGAGCTTGGTTGAAACAAGCAGAAATCAGCAGCACAGCAGCAGAAAACAGGCCATACTTTTGAAACCCAATTCCCATCCTAGTTTTCAGATAACAAAAGAATAGAATGTGGATGAGAGAGTTGGTGGAAGAAGAAGAAGAAGCTCTCTCAGACAGAGAGAGAGAGAGGAGAACTATACAGCCTACAAGCGTAGGAAAATGATGATTTAATGAGAGGTTGTACAAAGGAAAATAGGGACATTAGATTAAATAATGGGGGAGACTGGTGACGGTGTAATCCCCATCAGTCCATCTAATCCACCATTTTCCAAGATACAAAGGGAAGAAAGACGAAGGGAAGTAGTCGTTTTAGGCTTTTAGCACGAGTCACGGGTTGTGATGACTCGTGCATGTGTGAAAAGAATAAGAGCAGGGTCTACACTTAACACACCCCAAAGCAGAGATGCGGCTGCAACTTGAATACAGCGGATAGTGATGGGTCCTGTACTCACTGGACCGTCTCTGACTCGGACCAAACCAAGCAATTGAACCTGTAACCTACTGAGGTTTTTGGGTCCCAGTTACTTGGCAATTTCTAGACGCTAATACCCACCTGCCAGAGTTGGACCAAACCGGAAAATTGAACCAGTTAATCAAAGACCCAGATGAACCTAACCATAGTCCAACTAATAAAACTATGATCCTGTGACTGTGAGCTTTTCTGGTTGTAATTTCTATCTGGTATGGTCTGAGTATGATAACATTGACCCCATTATGATGTTCAATTCAAAGATGTAATTATAGATGCTAATGAACGGATTTGCTGTTGGAATTCAATATGGTCACATTTTTTTATATATGTAGATATGATCTGGATGGACCCAGATCTACATTTTAATCAGTCAATCCCTACCCAAATTCCATTTGTCCATAATACCAAATAAATAGATAAATAAATAAAATTCTTTTTGTCACTCCCCTCTTTCCTGGGCTCCCAAATACAAAATTAGTAGGGCTGCAATCGGGTCCAATTGAATCTCGGGTATAGATTCAAATTCCATTGCAAAATTTTTACAAAATTAATCCATTAACCTTACCACAGAGAGACTCAGTACTAACTCCATGTTTGGCGAGATGCAATTGACCACCACAACTATTGAACCAATCTTGTTGATAGAACTGTAGACGAAGCACATGAAAAGAAAAAAAAAATACTGAAATTAAGAACAATATGAAATTCGAATAGATCCAAAAGACAGTCGAAAAAGATATTGTTTAGATGGGGTGGTACCATCAAACAGCCCTCGTGAGTCAGACTGAAAACAAATGGAAGAACAAGATTTAGAATAACGAACATGGTGATCATGTGGTGGGGACGCTCCATTGTCAATTCTATAATTTGGTTCCAACTCTTTGTTCAATAATCTGTTGCTATTGAAGTGTGACTTAACAAATTGCATCTTTTGAATAAAAACAAAAGTAAGAGGGAAATGGCCGTAGCCATTGTCCATTGAAATGTCTATATTTTACCATAAATTATTTCAAACCAGATTGAGTGCCATTGTCAATAATAATTAGTGCCTCAAATGGTACCCATTTACTCAAATTTGAATTTAATCCCATTAAGGCTGATCTGAATATAATTGGGTCAAATATAAATTCACACCTATCTGATCCAATATAATACAATCCATTTTGATTCAATTTAAATGTATATATACTTATATATATGAAAGTTATATAAGTTGTTTGGTTTTTTTTAGAAGGTTGATCTTTTTAGTAAGACCTCCTAAATGGATTGCTGCTGTAGGAATAGTGAGAATTGAGAGCATATTATCATTAGGGGGTGCAAGTGGGTGCCCAAGTTGAAGAATTTATACTGTGTTTAAGGCTGGGCCCATTCAAATTTTTACAAATTCTCAACTTAAGCGGCCCAAGTTGCACACCTAATAATCATAGCTATCCAATGGGTCCTGGGCTATTATAAGACCCAATTATGACTTTTTCTTCTCATTCCCGGGTATTTTATCTTGAATTATCCAATGGGTCATGGACTATTATAAGGCCCAATTATTATTATTATTATTTGCATTCTTCAGTTTCCTGTTAACAAAGATACAACTCAAGAATTCTTCCATTTTTATGGGGTTAAAATAGTAAGTAAATGTGATCATTTTTGTAACAATAATGAAAACCAAGGGCATATTATAATGAACAGGTAGGGATTTGTTGTTGAAGCTTCAATAGAAAAAGATGGTATTGAAAGGTTATGATTGGCTGGGGCAGCATCTTGTGGTATTCAGCATTTGTTGATGTATCGTAGATGTTCCTTCGGCTCAATTTGTTTGCAGATGGAATTTCAATTACAGTGGCGTAAATACATGGCAGTGCAAAAAGGATGAATGTAAATTCTGATTTACTTTTACAATTTTTTATCAAATGAATGTATGGATATATGGCCGAAGATGTTGTGGTAGGGCAGGTGTAAATTATGTGACAGTAATAAATTTATGAGACCCACTGTAAAAAGGTGTGGGTCTTATGTATTTTATTATTGGCGTGGAACATTATCATTGGTTCTACATTCTACCGAACAGTCATTACATTCAGTTAATCCTTGCTCATAGTGATTAAATTGGATTTAGAGAAGGCTTACAAGGATGTTCATTATCTTCCTTCTTTATTTACATTTTTTTTTTTGAGAAGGCAGTTGATGAAGGGAAATTTGGCCCGACCTTGCGATCGCCCGACGCGTGGCAAAGGCAAGCAGCTTGGGACAGTAGAGCACCCAAAGCGAACATCGGAAGCAAGTCCAAACTCACTGCCGAGCCCCAACTCCAGACCGCTGTATTTAGTCCGAGTTCCTTGTTAAGAGCGAACTCCCTGTTAAAGGTCCGAGCTCCCTAAAAACCCGAGCTCCCTAAGTCCTAGCTCGGTACTAAGAGCCCGAGCTCCCTAAAGAACCCGAGCTCCCTAAGTCC